TGATTAGTTATTTTAACCTAAGCTAAGCGTGAAGACAAGCATCATAAACCTCTTCCGCTGAAAAGGCTAGCAAGACACACTTCTTTCCACACACAGACTCCAGGGCTTCAGCGCAGTTAGAACAGCATTTACAAGACAGAAACCTAAAACTGCTTTTGAAAAAGGAAACACAGTGGACAACCTCACAAGGTTGTAGCTGAATGCTGACAAAGCCTTTGGATCCGTGAGACAGTTTGGTTTGCTTGTAGTTGAAAAAGATGGATTTTAAGGGAGAACTGGACATTGATCTGCATGTAGGACTTCTAATGAAGAACAGAGCCAGCTGTCAGTAGAAACCACTACAAAAGGACAAACATTTCCAGCAAAGATTTGCAACTGCAAATAGTCAACTGCAACTTTCTGCATGAAACAGGTAACCACTAACACAAACATGGCAGTGGCTAAACTGGCCTGAAGTGCTGCACCAAACTTTGCTTCCTTACTGAAAGGTTCAAAGGCTGAGGACCAGACAAATAAGCAGTGACAGCAGAACGTGGGGAATTTAACAGTAAGAATTACCACTTGTTCTCAACTGTCAGAGCTGGCAGTGGAAGTTTGCTTGTGCAATGTAGAAGAGGTAACTACCTTTAAAGCAGTCCAACTTCAAATGCTCAGGATCTACATGATACACAAAGCCAGTCAGGTTTGGTTCTGTGGAGTTTTGGGGGTTGTGTATTGTTGTGGGTTTTTTTTTCCCCTGTTCATTTTTTGTTAAGAGCACATCCCAGATCACTGATTTGAGTTACGGTGCAGTTCTATGACACTAAGGTAGGAATCATATGTGCCTTCCCCAAAGCCAATGTGGAGATTACTTACTACTTTCCAGGGAGAAGTTCTCATCTGCCCAGATATGCAGCAATTATTGTTGTGGGACAGTTCTGTCTTGAAATTTAGTTTATTTGAAGAGCTGAGAAGCCACCTTTATTTAAACTTGTGTATTCACTCTGAATATCCAAGTTGTAAACCTGTGCAGTGTAATCTGACAATTAGAAACTTCAACTGATGTATTCTCAGATCCATGAACTGGATTAAGTTTGAAATTGCCATTCTATACACTGCCATCCTCTCTTCCAGGTGTTATTATTTAGACAAGCCTAGACAGTATTTAAGCTAAAGACACTTTGTGTAACTGTAAAATGTTTATCTATTGCCAAAAAACTACATGTTTCCGTAGCCTCAATAGCCAGAAGTGGTGTCACAGCTGTTGGGAGACCAGTTCAACTTAAGAATGGCTGGAGCTCAGACCCACCTTAAAATTAGATGGTCAGAAATTAGGTGCGAGGATTACAAGAAGCCTTGAAAATGAATGAAACAGCTTTCAGAAGTGATATATGAGAGCAGGTGGTTGGAAGGAGACAAAACAATCTGAGAAGAAATGCAAGTAGTCAGCAGCCAGTGTCAGGAGACAGAAGAGTGGCAATGAATGGAATTCAAGTGGGAAAGACTTCATTTGAAAGCATAGAACAAAATCAAAACATTGTTTAATAGTAGGCAAGAAAATAATAAAAGGACTCAGGAAAGGGGATTTAGGTATTGTGATGTGTGGCTGCAAATGTATCAAGCACAAAATACACTCAGGAATATTTAAGTGTCTGTAACTAGTTTTCAAGCAATTCCAGCGGTGTGTGTTTCTGCCACGCCTCCCAGATTCCAACAACTCTATCATACACCAACAATTCTATCATACACACAGCCTCTTACTAAGTTTTGAGTGAAAATCTGAAGTGATAGGGAAGAGATAAGAAGAAGCCAAGTCAGACAACAGAGCAAGCACAGAGTGCTTTCTTGGTAGAGTACCTCAAAGTATCAACATCACTCCTCAATTTCAACGTGGTTTGTGGCAGATGTCCATCTCTCAAATCTGAATCTAGGCTGACTAGACTCTAATATACAGTAAGGCAAGCAAGCCCCATGGCAAGCATGGGAGCCAGCCAATTAATAGCTGGACAGCAATAACAGCTATAAATTTAATCTAGCACATTCCCATCAAACCTGTCATTATCTTGAGCCCTTTGAACCCCTCTTTGGGTGCCAAAAAGGACTGTTGTGGTTTAACCCAGCCAGCAACTCAGCCCTACACAGCCACTTGCTCCCTCCCTGCCCTCCCTCCCCACCCTGCCCAGTGGCATGGGGGTCAGAATTGGAAGGGTAAAAGTGAGAAAACTTATGGGTTGAGATAAAAGACATTTCAATACAGAAAGCAAAAGCTGTGTGTGCAAGCAAAGCAAAACAAGGAATTCATTCCCTGCTTCCCACCAGCAGGCAGGTTTTCTGACATCCCCAGGAAAGCAGAGCTCCATCACGCATAATGGTGACTTGGGAAGACAAACGCCATCACTCCGAAACGTCCCCTCCCTTTCTTCTTCTTCCCCCAGCTTTATATACTGAGCATGACATCATGTGGTGTGGGGTATCCCTTGGGTCAGTCGGGGTCAGCTGTCCTGGCTGTGCCCCCTCCCAGCTTCTTGTGCACCCCCAGCCTCCTCACTGGTCGGGTGGGGTGAGGAGCAGAAAAGGCCTTGGCTCTGTGCAAGCACTGCTCAGCAGTAATGAAACTGTCCCTGTGTTACCAACACTGTTTCCAGCACAAATCCAAACCACAGCCCCATACCAGCTAGTGTGGAGAAAATTAACTCCACCCCAGCCAAAACCAGCATGCTAGTTACAATAGATACAGAACTATCTGTTCAGTTGTGAGGTTTTTATACACTGAAGTTATTCTAAAAAGCTACGGATAACTCAAGATCAGGTTTAGGCATATGAGAGTTAATTTCAGCAAAATATAAAATCCAAACCAGATGGTCCAGATGTAAAAAACCTCAAAAGAAAGGCACATCCATCTATTGCTGTGAGGATTAATTAGAAATCAAATCTATTAAAACTGCCATAAATACTTAAAGCTCTCATGTTACAGCATCATTGAACAAAGGGCAAAAACCACACCTGTATTCCAAACAGATTGTATTCAAAATTTATTTTTAAATAAAAGAAAAAACAAGATAATGATTTTAAATAAACATGGTATATTCTACACATCTGTAGATCAACACAACTTTACATTAGCCATTTTTAACTTTTCAAAGTTATGTTGCAGCATCTTCTACAACATTTGACAGTATTGGTTTCCATGTCATAATCAACCAAACAATACCTAAATGAAACTATTTGCTTAAGTGAAGCTTTATTTTTCATGACCAAACATGGCTCTACTAATACAAAAGCACCTGTTAAACAATTATCCCCACCTATTTTTTTTTTTTCAAGTGAAGTCTGTTCAGCCTTTTTTTTGGTTCTGTTCCATTGCCTGCATAGAAATCAGCATAAAGCTAAGCTGCAAGCTAAACTTCACTTTAGCAGTGCAATGAATGGCATCAAGCTTCATAAAACAAATGAAGATACAAACATTGTCAGAAAAATTCAACTATGTAAAAAACAATATTAAAACCAGAATGTTTTTGTGGGTCACAACTAGACTAGCTTTCAGCGTGAAACTTTCCTCAGGAAAAGTACTTCTTCCCGATTCACATGAAAAGAATGAAGCATGCATCAAAAGCCTTTGTTCATACAGAAATGCCCATTAAAACAGTTCCATGGTATCATAAGGCAAAAGAGATATTAAGGTGGATGAAGCATTTTGGCCCAGAGTATGTTTTACAACACGTACATACACATTACACTTGTGTAGCATATGACAGGTAAGGGATTGGCTCAGTAAAAATGTCTATTTTTATAAACGCATGTCATTATTGCTAATATGCTACACGTTATCATCCAACTTTTAAAGCTGCTTTGTTGGCATTCGCCTTGTAATTAGCAGCTCACATTTATGGTGACAAAATGCTATTTCATTTGAAGGAAAGTAAAGCAGCATAAATACAATTATGAAAACAAAAGGCTTATGCAACATCCCTCTCTAGCTTTGCTGTGTTTTTTTTTAATTAAAAAGTGTTCAAAGAAAACAAGTCCAGTTCACCACAAATTAGGAAGTCTCACAATGAGGCTGGAAACCAAACTACAGGGAGCAGAGAGGGGAAAACACGGCATGCATTATAATCTAGTCCTTTTAGTCATACCACTGGAATACAAAAGTCCAATTTAATGGCTAGACTAACAGTAGAAGGCAAAAAGCCAAGAGTAGACTTAGTTTGATATTTAAATTAAGATTACAATTTTAATCAGTAACAGCAAACTCACCTGGCCTTTTAATATATTCACAATATCTACTGCAATTGAATACTTAATTATGACTAGTATAGGTATGTATGTTCACTTTAAAAAGATATTAAATACCTGCATCATGAAATTACATTCTTAAGACATTGTGTAAGAAAATAGCTCATGTGTGAAATGTTTCTGAAATGTATTTCTGCTCCCTTCTACCACCTACTATCTCCCCCCGCACACACACGTACCAACCCACCCCCCCCAGCATTCACTCGCAGGGAAAAACAAACACCCCTTAAAAAAGGATGGAAATAGAGAAGGGGACCAGCTTGGCTAGTTACAGCACAGTGCTTAACAAGGTTCAAGACAGAACCAGATCAGAGTTGGCCAAAAGATGCCCACAATATATGCCTGACCAGTGATTCCTTCTAACTCATTCTATCAAACTCAGTCCACTTTTGGTTCATTGCAGTGACTAAAGTATTTCATATATACATATAAACACAAGACTCCAGCTTTACTTCAGTTTGTTTTTGCAAAGCATTTTTACCTTTTCATTCATTTTTGTTCTGCAGCAACTGCAAGAGGTAGGCATAAAGCATTTAAGAGCTTCTTTCCCAAGGTCCTGTTACTAGCTCAGTTTAGTGGAATAAAACAGAAATCAGCTGTACTTCTTTGATTTTACTAGATACAGCCTTGTACAATCCAGCTGGAAAATAGTGATTGTGAACCCTGGATTTGCTAGGCTAGCACACCATGGAGTAAGAAGCTGTTCATATCCAGGAGGATACTTTTTCTTCTTTTAAAGAGTTTACTGCAGAGCATTCCTATAGAAAGTAGATGTCAGGACCAATTCTCTCCAATTCTATTTGTACATAGGAGCAAGGTACCATTTGGCCAAGACTATGGATGTATTTTCACAGATGCAAGTGCCATGCAAAAATAAATTAAAGAACAGATACCAAAACATACAAGTAATAAAACTACTGAAGGTAGATTTTCTTAAAAGTATTTATATAAACAATTTATAATACTTTTCTTCCCCCCCTTCTCTTTGACATTCACAGTTACAAAGCTGTGGCTATACATCAAGAATTTCTTCTGCAGTGCCTCCACAACGTAATCTGTAGCGTCCTGTCCTCCAGCTAATAGTAGGGTCCCACAAAGCAGATAGGAAAATATAAATCGTCATGGATTCTCTGATGAACCAAGCTACTGCATAATCAAGTTTTGAAAAACACAGAGCACCACCCTAGGAATATAAGAAGAAAGTGTTTCAACATACTGATTACTCAAAAGGAAGTCTGAAGTAATTAGAAACACAAATGCTTTAAAAGTTTATTACAGAGATTTACATATTAATAGCTTTTTTTTAATAGGCCAAGAACATTCTTCTGTTCAAGATATGATTACCTATCTTAAATGTGAGGAGCTTGGCAAGAATGACCCAGAAGGTTTGAAGAGAGACTTATATAGA